ATGCCTTCCCCTGACCAGGCTGCCTTGCCAGCCCCTCCTCTACCCACCTCCTGCCCACAGCGCATCTCCTGGCTCCCGGGCCCTCTCCCAGGAAACACTTGGAACATCTTAAGTGCCCTGCTCCAAAAGACATCAAAGCACTTCCCGTCACGTCCTTCCACCCAGTGATCTGCGGAAGTCCCCAGTCTGGCGACACCATGCCTGTTGGACACCACCTGGCAGCTTGGCTTTGATCAGCGACTCGCTGATCCACCTGCCCCCGGGTCCCAAATCCACTCGTCGGACTGGTGAGATGGCCCCCGTGCAGACGGCTGAGGTGAATCACGCCTGGAATGCGCACCTTCACCCGGTCCATACAGGGTTTCGACTCCATCAGCCTCTCTCCCATTTCCGCATGGGTTAATGGGTTAAACATTTTTAATTTTAGAAATAATTACAAACAATTAAATAGCACACACTGGCTCCATGTCCCCAGTTCCCGCTCTCTCCATGCACAGGGACAGCAATATTTTTAGGCCCTATTCAAGTTACCCACCCTGGCTGCAGATGAAATATTAATTAAAGGTTATACTTTCAGCCTTCGGAAAATGATTACTCAAGATAGCAATTATATTTCCCCATTTTTGTGTAATAAAACTGCACCTTGCTGTGCAGCAGAATTAATAATCGTGAAGCCTGTTGTTACAGAGGCATGCCCGAGATGGGAAAGCACGAACACTCAGCCCCACAAGGCACGGGGAGGACTTCAAAAGAGCAGATTCTACTTTCAGGGCTGGGATCGTCTCTCAAGGTCATTAACTCCTCTGGCGGTCTGAAAGAGTGGCCCAGTTACAAATGATACAGGCAAACAGAAATTAGAACAGGACCGAGCTACAGCTCAGACACTGGGTCACTGAGAAGCTCTGGACGGCCCGTGGCCTGGCGCAAGGCTGGAGCCGGCCGGCAGCCCTTCCACGTCCTTTGCAAGAGACTCAGAATCTCAGGAAGGCAGCTGATTCGAGAGCCCACAGTCATTGCTTCGTCGGCAATTTCTATGGCCAGAAAGAAGGACAAGGATCGCCAGCAGCCTGGAAAAACGCAGTAAGAATTCCAGTTGTTAGGACCAGCAGATGGCGTAATGGTTATGTTGCTGGGCTCCCACGTAGTTGACCGCAGTTTGAGTCCTGGGCCCTGGGGCTTGAAACACACCCGGCACGTGTGTGTGTGTGTGCGTGTGTGCCCAAGATCCCAAGAGGAGAATGGAGGAGGAGAGATTGCAGCATGGCTATCCACCCCTGGGGAATCAGTTCTCGTCTTCTGTCTCCCAGTCTTCTCTGTCCCTCTAGCGAGCACACGTGCCCTATAGCAAAAATCTCTCTCTAAAACAAAAGCAGGAGTAACAGTTGTTTACGGAGTACCTACCGTATGCCACACAAGCTCAATGAGATGGGAATTCCCTCTTCGCTTTATAGACAGAAGCACGGAAGCTCAGAGAGATTAAAGGACTTGTCCAAGGGGACACTGCAAATGGTAGAACTGGGGTTCAGACTCTTCCAAGGTCACAAAGCAAACGGCAGAATTCGGGTTTAAATCCATAGGCCAGCAACTCTGTGAGTGCCGGGCTGTGTCAGTCCTGTTCACTGTCGCGGCCCCCACGGGTGACCTAGCATGGTGCCTGGCACGTGGTAGGTGCTCACGACACCTTGCTCATTTAGCAAATGAATGACTGACTTCGTGTTTGGAAGGCAACACTGCAATTCAGCAAAGTAGACATAAAAAAAATGATAATAAAAAGTGTCGTGACTTCACATGAGTCTCG